CTTTTCCCCCTCTTCTAATTTAGAACAGTCTTCTCCCTTCTGCCCCTTTACAAAATCTGTATGTGATGGTACTAACTATACGGAGAGTTCAGGACATCGTCTCACAGATGGTCCCAGCTCCTGCACTTGTCCAGTTGCATCCTTGTGGTGTCACTTGGTTAGTTTCTCCTGTCATTTCAGGTACACCAGAAAGCCGGTTTTGGGATTTTAGAGATTTGCCTAAACCCAGGCTACATGCTTTTGGCAAGAGGCCTTGAAATGACTTTGTACTGTGTCACACCAGGAAACATGGGGCGACAAGCCGTCTCATTCCTGGTGACACTAAATTTGGTCACTTGGCTATGATGCCAACAGCCAGAAGTGTCTGACTCTCTCGCTGTTTTGTAAATATAACTGAGTTATGTTTTTAAATGTTAAATTGAAAAAAAAAAAACAACCACCAAATGATGTTCCACCTTCCTCTGGCTCTCTATGAAGGCAAAATATGCTTCATAGGGTTTGAGGTAATTTCTGGATCTGTAAGGATGAAATTATTCCACTGGAGGTGATTAATGGGGAAACCAGAAAAAAAAAGCTCAGTTGGAACCTTGATATGAGACCATGGAGAGCAAGATTCAGGTTATGCCAGTGGCTTCTTCCAAAGGACTGGTGCTGAGTGACTGACTGGCAACGACGTTGCGATGAGTGACCTGAGGCTTGGGTTCCTCTCCCCTCCTGTTCAACAGTGTCATTCTCTATGAAGGAAGTACTAATACACCCGAGTTCTGTGTGTAGAGTGATAGCTTTAGAGAAATCAAGGAAAGAATCTCTATCCCAGTGCATTATCAGTCACTGTGCCCAGAATCTAAAAGGCTAGAATCTCTGAGAAGTATCTTGGAAAGAAAATGAGATGTCAGGACATTCTTGTGTTGGTTGTATAGCTGAGGAAGGCTAGGAGAAGAGCCACAGTGAATGAACGAGTAAGTAGGCCAAGAGAAATTAGGACTCTTAACCCTGAAAAACCAGGAGACCAACAGAGAGTTAAAAACTCGAGTTTATTAAGAGTTTATGAGGTGCTGTTTTACTCTTTGCTACTTTTCCCTCTGACAAAGGTGCTATTTCACTCTTATTCTTTAGGAGTAGGGAAACTGATGCTGCACTGAAGTTATTTCCTTAATGGTGCTCACTTACTAGTTCATGGCAGCTTGAGATTTGACTCTGAACTGGTTCAGTTTAACTGCTCAAAAAACTCTCAAACTCATTGAAGTCTCCAACTACGACCGTAGTGTTGTGTATTTCCTTTTTCAGTTTTGTTAATGTTTGTTTAATATATTTTGCAGGTCTTTCATTTCGTGCATAGATAATTATTATTGTTATGTCCTCTTGTTCTATTGTCCCTTTAATCATTATGTAGTGACCTTCCTCATCCTTTGTAATGGTTTTTGCTTTGAAATTTATTTTATCGGAGATTAATATTGCTACTCCTGCTTTTTTCTGGTTGCCATTTGCTTGGTATATTTTCCCCCATCCTTTTATGTTTAATCTTTCTTTATCTTCATTTTTTAGGTGTGTCTCTTGTAGACAGCATATTGATGGATTTTGGGTTTTTATCCAATCTGCTACTCTTCTTCTCTTCAATGGTGCATTCAAGCCATTCACATTCAGTGTGATTATTGAGATGCAGGGTTTTATTGCTATCATTTTGTTGAATTCTTTTTGGTGTTGTTGCTAGTTACTTTGGTCCATGCTGCTGTCTGTGGTAACTCTGTAAGAAGGAGATCTCTCAGTGTTTCCTGCAATGATGGTCTTGTTTTTACAAACTTTTAGGTTCTGTTTTTTCTGGGAATATCTTGATCTCTCCTTCATATTTGATGGATAATTTTGCTGGGTACAGTATTCTTGGTTGACAGAAAAAACTCTTAAACTCATTGCTGTCGAGTTAGAACCGACTCGTAGTTGACCCTCCTGGATTTCTGAGGTTGTAGCTCACACAGGGGGAAATTACCTGTTTTTCGCCCTCGGAACCTCGCCCTTTTGGGTTAGCAGCACAACTCTGTGCGGACAACGCCCCCAGAGCTCCAGTTTGACTGCTGCTAGGGATTCACAGATTCTGATTTCTCTTGGCTTCATAGAGGAGGGAAACATTCTGACTTTTGAAACAGACTGATTTACAGGTAACAAGTGTTATTTTACTGAAACATTTTAAACACCATGCCTAATCCTTGGAATTGGCTGAAAATAGCAGCAGACACAACAAGGAATTGCAGAAAATCATCTCACGTGCTTTAGGCATGTTATTAGGAGGGCCGTTCTGGGGAAGGCGATCATTCTTGATGAAGTAGATGGTCAGAGAAAAAGAGGACGACCTTTGACAAGGTGTGTTGACACAGTAACAGCAACAGTGGGTGTAAGCACCTCGGAGCCTGTGAGTGCACAGGATCGGGCAGGACCTGGTTCTGTTGACCTGAATACCCTGTGATTTGGAACCAGCTTTATGCCACCTAACAATAGTAACAGAGAAGACTTACCTATTAGGACAAGTGAGAGAAAGAAGAGAAATCTTGGGAAGCTTGGAAAACTGAGGGTTAACTTGTTTCTACCTTATTGTAATGGATCTTTGAATTAAATTTGGAGGAAGTTTTTTGGGAAGAAATTATCTCTAGGAAAGGAGTCCTAGTGGCTCAGTAGTTAAGTGCTTGGCTGCTTACTGAAAAGTCAGTCATTTGAACCCACTAGTGCTCTCTGGGAGAAAGAAGTCGCAGTCAATTCTGTCAAGATTACAGCATTGGAAATGAAACATGAAGGGGCATTTCTCTTCTGTTCTGTGGGCTTGCTCTGAGTCAGAACTGACACCATAGTAACAAGCTCATCTCTGGAAAGAGTTCAAATTCACCTTTGTACTTAATGGTGTATTTATTTATATCCACCCTGCCTTGTTCTAGAAAATAGGATAGCAATGAGAGATGGACCACAGTAGGTGGATTGGGTGGACGGAGGTTTAAGTACTGGTCTTTTCTGGATCTGTTTATTCTTGGACGTGAGTGTGGGGAGCAGTGGAGGGGCTGCACAATCTATAGGAATCCTTGTAAGGGCTGAAGCCCTTTGATGTGGACACCTTTAGTGGCAGGTGGTGTATGTAGCATTTTCCAGATATCTCGGGTTTGATACATCTCCTGCTTGCCAATATTTTCCAATTTCTCTGCCTCTTCTCATTTGCCTGCAGGACTGGATTTGTGCAAAGTCAGAGGAACTGGGTGCTGAGCATCCCTCTTATTGCAGTCACCACAGAACTGGATCTTAAACTAGGAACTTGGTGTGTGTGTGGGGGGCTGAGTTGCTTAAATTCAGCTTTATTTTATTTTTATTATTTTTAAATTATTAGTTTGTTTTGTGTTTTTAAATTTTTGTTTGTACCACCAAATCAGATCTCACTGGTACAAGGAGGAGATTGTTCCTACTTCTCTAGCAGAGCATCTGGTGGATTCGAACTGCTCACCTCTGGGGTTGCAGTATAGCTTCTTGCTGCTAGGCCACCAGAGGTCATCTTCATTTTATTTTTTAAAAATAATACTTAATCTAAAAAAATAATACCTAATCTATTTTAAGAGAGAGTTTATGCAACAAATTAGTTTTCTGTTAGCAGCTTTTATAGGAATTGTTCCTTGCCATGGTTTATAGCTTTTACGCTGTACTTGCATTTTGTTTATTCTGTTTCCTTCGATCTAGCTCCTCTTGGTCTCAGTGTTAAGGGAGCCATTAACCATGGTGCCATGTTTCTTTTATAAGTCAGTCTTACTTTTCTGAAAGAGTTTCAATTTCATCTTCACAAGTTCACCTTTTGGTGATCACCTCAGAGGTTCTTCGATCTCTGTCAGTCTGGTGGGTCTGGTCTTTTTTAGGAATTTGAGTTTTGGTATATATTTTTGTTCCATTCTGTCCAGAATCTTCTATTCTTTCCTGTACAGCACTACCAATAGTGGTAGCTGGGCACCATCTAGTTCTGGTCTCAGGTGAGAAAAGACTGTGGTGCCTGTAGTAAACCTTTTTTTTGTCTTAACTTCAAAGTGATGCATTTTTAAATTTCAGTCTTTTTTTATTTTGTGTGTGTGTGTATACCATCAAATTGGATTTGACTGGTGTAGGAAGAGATTACCCCTCCTCCTCCAGTAGAGAATCTTGTGGATTTGAACCACGTACCTCTGGGATTGCAGTGCAGAAATTTTAGTCTTTAACATGGTTAATTAAAGAATAAGACTGTGTAAACCTTCACCTAGAAATGTCTCTTGCTGACATTTCCACAGGGTCTCCCCATCCATATTCCTGCTTTTTCTCCCTGTTCTTTATTTGGGCTGAGGGAATCTGTGCTTCTTGCAGTGAAATTCTTCCCCTGTCGCCCTGCCCCTTCCTTGGTGCCCTACAAATAAAAACAGTGTAGAAATGATCTAGCTAGAATAATGGGATAGAGGGTTTAGGAAAAAAAGCAAATAATTTCCCACCTACCTGCTCTAGTGACTACAAGTAGACATGTTCCCTCCATTCTTTTCTCTTTGCTACAAGACTCATTTAAAGATGGAAAAAAGTTTCCAGAGAAGCCAGAGTTAGTGGAATGGGAGGTTATAATGTGGAGAGTCTGTTGGTATCTTGCTTCATAAGGCTAGCTTATTTTTTTAAAACTATATTGGCCATTTCACCCATTTTTATAAGAATGATACAGTGCCATTAAATGTTTTGGTACCATCACTATTATCTGTTTCCAGGTTTTTATTTTTAAATTATCATTCTTAGCAGACATTCATAACAGCATCCCTTAAACAAAAATGTTCCATTTGCCCCTCCTTCCTACTCCTGGTGACCACAAGTAAACTTTGGTCGTGATGCACTTGCCCGCTGCAGAAACTTCCTTTCAGTGGAGTCATGCGGCAGTGGTCCCTTTGTGTCTGACTTATTCTGCTCCCCTGGAGAGAACTCAGCTCAAGTTGCATTTGTGTTCATCCGTTCATGTTGCCTTCTGTGCCCCACAGTGGAGAACACGCAGCTGACCCTGAACCTGCAGACAGAGAACAAAGGCAGTGTTGTCTCGGGCGGAGAGCTGACAATTTTCCTGGACGGGCCAACTGTTGATCTGGGAAGTGTGCCTAATGGCAGTGCTGTGACAGACGGTGAGTGCTGCCCTGCTCCCCAGAGCTGTTTTGGGACGAGGTGTGGCAAGACTGAGGGGGAACAGGGGAGGGGAGGTGGTACTGGGAGCTTGGAGCAGGTATATCTTGGTTTGCATGTCTCTCAGTGGGTCTTGGCCCACATTCACCCTGACTCTTCTTTGCATCTTGGGTCAAAATCATGACATGGTTTTTCAAGGACTGCCTCCTGATAAAGGACCAAAAGAAATGTCGGCTTTTTAAAGTCTGCTCGCGTTTGGTTTGAGAGCAGAGAAGGACATCTCATTAATCCCACATGGACTTGGAAAAGAAAACTTCTTCATTGTGTGCATTGTGGCCCCTTTTCTTTTCCTCAATGTCCTTAATCACCTGAGAATTTGGAAGGTATCTTGTGTAGGATGTTATTGGCTGGAAAAGGGAGTGACAAAGGCCCTGCCATCACAAAATGCACCCAGAAGCAGGGACACCGGAGACGGTCTCCTGCTCTGTCCCAAGTGTTGACAGTTTGTTTCTTTTGACCTGTTCTGAAATTAGTCACCTTTCACAGGAAATTATTTCATGAAGTCTGAGGTCTGAAGTGCATGGAGTTTCTCCATGATTTCTCATGAAATGTTTTGTTAAATGTGATGTAACTCTGGAGCTTCCCCCAAACAGGCTTTCTGTAGCTTTGGGTGGGGTGAGAGTTGAGTTAAAACATGAGGGAAGTAGCAGGCGACTCGATGCTCAGTGGTCAGCAAGGTCTGGACTGCTGAGAAGAACCCCTTGACTGGGGCTAGGGAGATACTGTGGAGGTGCTTTTGGTCAGAGGAAGAGTGACCATTCATTCATTCATTTAGCATGCACACACCCACATACATTCTCACACGAGTAATTGAACACTTGGTATATATACTAGGCTACAGATAGCAATGAGCAAAATTCATGTGGTCTTTACTCCTTGGAGGATATAATCTACTCAGGGAGTGGCTGCAGACATCAACCAAGTTAACACAAAAATAATTTTGTGGTTGTGTTTGTGATAAAAGCTCTAAGGAAAAGTATGAGGTGGGATGTGAGCCCTTGGTTTAGGAGGATCACATACAAAATGAGGGGGAAGGGAAAAGTAAAGTAGGAAAGAAAAGGAAAATCAAGAAAATGAAGGAAAGTAGGGAGAGTTGTATGAGAAACTGCCTCACAGAATGGTCTCCCACACAGCAGAACCTGGCATGTGAGGAGGTGTTTTGACAGGTGAGGGAGCAGTGCAGTAAAGGGTGGCAGGTACATTCGGGACTGGAGGGGCTGCCTGTGCAGAGGCCCTGAGGTAGACTGAGTGTGACCGTTGTGAAAACAGAGTGGTGTGTGGTAAAGGAGAGTGACGGGAGGTGAGGTTGGCTCACACAGGCCATTGAAGGCCTTGGGAAGGGTTTCTAACCCTGTCCTTATGAAAGCGAGCTCTGGTGGCTTAGCGGTAAGAAGTTGCACCACCAGCTCAAAGTCACTTGGTTTGACTTCACCAGCTGCTCTGCAGGAGAAAGATCAGAAGTCTCCTCCTATGTGATTCACTGCCTCTGAAAACCAAGTGGAAGATCAGCTACGAGTTGGTTCTGATTGATAGCATCTAGTAACAACATCCTTTTTTTTTTTAACGTGTGTACCATCAAATTGGATCTGACTGGTACAGGAGGCGATTGTTCCTCCTTCTTCAGCAGAGCATCTGGTGGATTTGAACCGCGCACCTCTGGGATTGCAGTGCAGTTTCCTGCCACTAGGCCACTAGTAACAACATCCTTAAAAAACACAACCAAAAACACCGAAACCAAACCCACTGCCCTCATGTCATTTTCAACTTACGGAAACCCTCCATCATGTTGCAAAGGCTGTAAATTTTTCTGGAAGGAAACCGCCTCATCTTTTTACCACTCAGTAGCTGGTAGGCTCGAATCACTACCCTTTCATTTAGCAGCACAACGTATAATGCACTGTGCCATCATATGAGGAAGAGGAAAACTGTTGAAGAATTTCATTAACAGAGTAGTATCATCTGGGAAGAGTCTTGCTGGCACAGCAGTTAAACATTCCCCTGCTAACCATAAGGTTTGCAGTTTGAACCCAGCAAGGGTAAAAAGATGAGGCAGTCTGAATCTGTAAAGATTTACAACCTTGGTGTTTCTGTAGAGCCATTCTACTGTGGCCTTTTGATTTACTGTGAGTGAGGATCTTTTCAGCAGCCGTGGGTTTTTGGAGCAGGATCTGATCTGATTTGGCTTCTTAAAAACTTCCTGATTGCAGTATGGAGACGTGTCCTCGTTCCTTGCCTCTACTTTGCCTCTTTAGCATCTGCTCTGTATAGTTCATATCATGAGGTTGAAGTTCTTTTTAGGTATGAGCTGCCATGCTTATTTGTGTCGTAGACTTGACTGAAAGCCTTGGAGAAGAGTAACTTTTTCCATGGTTTGAACTCCATTCATTCTTCAATTAATCATCCCCCCACCCTCCTTGCCAAAATCCACCTCCGTTGCTTTCAAGTTGAAATTGACTCATGGCTGACCTTCCACTGGTTTTCTGAGGCTGTAAATCATGTAGAGGGAGATTGCCCGTCACTCTCCTGTGGAGCTGCTGGTGGATTCAAACCTGCAGCGAGGCATGGTCTCTGAGTTAGCAGCACAGCTTCCTGCAGACTAGGCCATGCTAATGGCACAGGCCAGCTCTTGCTTGTCCATGCTTGCTCCTCCTCAAGTTTGTGGCTACATCATGTTAGGCTGCTCAGACCTTGGCAGAGCGGGTAACTGGGTAGGCAGAGTTGACTTCTGCTCCTAATGGTGAATCTCAAACAAAGCCCGAGTTTCTTAACGCCTCTTTTTTCTTGTGCTTGGTTCCCATTCAGGGTCACAGCCGCCTTCAAGAGAATCCACTGGGACAGCTGTTGCTCCTGAGAACCGACACCAGACACCCAGCACTAACTGCTTTGGTGGGAGATCCAGGTAAGACCCTCTCATTGATAGGATAGTGTAAGGAAGATGTGTAGAACTTTTAAAAAGATGTTGGAAAGTGGCTCGAGGCAAGTTACGTTAGAAAACGATCAGAAATTTCCAGGGATCTTATAACTGTCTCAGTATATTTCAGAGGCCCAGAAGGGAGTACAAAACTCAGGATTTTTGGAAGGGTCAGTGGTTCTTGGCAAGGATTGGACTGGCTGTGTTGGTTATTAGGATGAAAGAAACAGCTGAACAGAGGCTCTGCTTTTTTGTATATCAGATACAGCAGCCGTAATTATCCTTCCAGGGGACACATAGAAACATGTAAAGCAATGGTTCTTTTATGTGAAATTTCCTGTCTGTGCAAATCTTTTTTTAAAAATACTGTGATTTCAGTGAAAGTTTACAAAGCAAGTTTATTTTCCAAGCATTTTAGGTTATAACTTTGAAGTACTTAGGATGTAAGTGCATCTTTCCACTTCCTCCCTGTGATTCTCATTTCAATGACTGCTACCGTCTTATCCCTTTGTGCCGTGTGGGCTTTACCCTTGCAAAAATGCTAACCTTCTAACCCTTTATGGTTGGTTATTCTAAGGAGTGAGTGCCTCTCTGGTATTTGTTCTTGCAGAAATATTTTGGGGGGGTGTCTCTTGTTTCCTTTGTCAGCAAAGGAGGAGGTGTTGCCAGAGTGCTCCTTGGAGGCAAGGATGATGAAACTTCACCTCACGTACTTTGGGCATGTTTTCAGGAGGGGCCAATCCTTGGGAAAAGACATTATTTTGGAAGGGCAGAGGGTGAGTAAAAGAGGAAGATTTTTATGAGATGGATTGACACCGTGACTGCAGCAGTGGCCTTGAGCATGACAGAGGTGGTGTAGACCCTATGGCCTCAGGATTCCTCGAGTAAGCTGCAGAACACACATTTGCAATGCCACCCAATGGCACTGTCTTCTGTGTCCTAGAGATACTAGGTGCTGTCCTCCTCACCCTCTATTTTTTTTTTAGATGACCAGAGCCTTCTTATATTTTGGTGGATATAAAAAACCAAATGTAATTCCTTTGAGCATCAAAATGAATTTACCCTGAAACAACATTGTAGTTCAAAGCAGGATGATCTTTGGAGACAGGAGGAACAAGAGGTTCAGGTTGCCACTCTTCAATCAATTCTTCCTTTTCCTTAACTGTGAGATCAGAGCGTTCTTGTAATTTGTAAGTTTTAGAGAAAAGAAGTCTAATTATCCAGAGAATTAGAATGCCTTCCAAAATAAGATGATAAGCAGGAGCCTCGTATAGCGCCTGCACCATCTCCACAAGTACCCACTGCTCTGCAGCAGTCGCCATGTTCCACCAGGAGCTTTCTTCCGGAAGGCGGGTATCTCACCCTCTATTTTGTCTTGTATTTACAAGGTCAGTGTGCAGTTACTGCTGGAGTGATAGCACGGTTGTTGTTAGGTGCTGCCAAAGCGACTGAGACTCACAGCCACCAGAGTGACAGAGTAGAACTGCTCCATCCTGATTTCTAGGCTATAATCTGAGTGGGAATCGATTTCCAAGTCTTTTTCCCACAAAGCCACTGGGTGTGTTCGAACCTCCAGCCTTCCTGTGATTCTGAGTATGAGACTATGGAATCAGAGATGTAGTTTGACACTCACTGTGTGATATTGGACAAACCTCAGATTTTATTGATGTCAGATGGGAATGGTATCCCCTCCCAGACAGGATTATTTTAAGGATCAGCTGAGATGTGATATGTCCACCTGAGAGCCCTGAAGCTGGGAGTGCTCCCTGGAGGTGGTGGTGCAGCTTGAGTCTTGGAGGTTGCTGGCTGCTCCTGAGCCCCCAGCCCGGGAAGTGAGGCCTCACTAGTGCGGCCACATTAAGGGTTTTAGTTGGGGGTAGGGTGATGAATCCAACTTTCAGGATTCCGATGACAACCCGCTGCTGTCCCTGCTTTCTGGGGGCAGAGAGAATGATGGGCTTCTCCTTGCTAGCCTCCAGACTAAATATTTAGCTTTCACTGTCTGAAGGGTAGGGTATTTTCCTTGGACCTTGGTGCCAATCACTGTGATCAAACAAAGGTGCCATGATATGCTTGTGAAGGTGAAGACAGCAGAAGCTAAGCCATCCCTGCTTCATCACAGTAAGCTACAGAGAGATGAGAATTGTGAACAGATTGCATTTGAGGGGTTCACCCAGTAGGGACACTGTCAGCTAAGCCAGGGCCCCGAGCTCCATCTCCTAGAGCGTCCCTTCCCGCTCTTTAAGGATAGGATGAAACATTTCTAGGTGCTTTGCCTGGTCTGCCACATGGATGTCAGTATGTGTGACCACCAGCGACTCGTGTGGCTTAACTGTGTTTGCAGACAGACTGCCTTGGCATGCAGCCAGCAGGTCTGTTTGGGGAAAGAGTCAGTGTCGTAAATTGTAAAGCCTTATACTGAAATACTGGCCTGCAGTGAAAATGGGCAAATGATAGTTACATCAGGGTGGTGGAATCTCTGAAACAGTGTTGAGCAAGAGGAGCAGGTCGTGGAAAACATGCGTAGTGCAATGGCGCTTACGGAAAGTTGAACAATGCAAAACTAACCCATGTGCTTTTTATGGATCCCTCCAAAGCTGGTGCAATGACATAAAAGATGAAGAATGAACTGAATTTCAGAAAATGTTTATCATTTGAGAGGAAAGACTATAATATCACACACTCACTCACACACACACACACTTTGTAAACACACTTTGGTGATGGATATATGAGTATTCAGCTTATGATTCTTAAACAGAATATGCATTTAATATACTCTTTTTTGTGGTGATGGTGGTAGTGGTAAGTACTACTGAGTTGATTTTATTTCATAGTGACAGCAACCCCATTGTGGCAAGAGAACCATCTGGTCTTAGTCCCTTGGAGCTGGACAGGGACTGTGGGTTTGAACAGTCTACCTTTTAGCTGGCATCAGAACACCTACATGCTGTGCATCAGGGATCCTTTCTTTTGTGAACATGGTCTATTTAATGATAATAAAGTCATCTGCCAGTTTGAGGAAAGGGAACTGTGATAACATTAGCAGGGGAGAAGGGGAATAAAGTTGTGGTCTGCCATGGAGGCAGACAAGGAGCCCTGGTAATGCAGTGGATTAACCCTTGGTCTCCTAACCGAAAGGTTGGTGGTTCGAATTCACCAGCTACTCCACAGGAGGAAGATGAGGTGGTGTACTTTCTTAAAAATTTATAGGCCTAGCAGTCCTATGGGGCCACGTTTGCTTTTTCCTGCAGGGTTTCTCTGCGTTGACAGTGTGTTTGGATTTATTGAGGCAGGCAGATTTCAGACTTTCAGGTTCCTTCAGTCTCAGTACTAACACCTCATTCTTCTCCTACCCAGTGTATATAGTCAGCAGTAAAGCCATTGTTCCCAAATCAGTGTTGTTAGCCTTTTTGGGCTTTGATCCCGACACTTAAAAAATATCTCAGCCTAGGTGATAGGAACTGACCTGAGAGTCTAGTTTGGCTGGAGGAAGAATGAGTTCAAGATGAGAGTTTGTCATATTTTCTGGAAGGCTCTCTGGCAGATCAGAACAGCACTCGTCTTGGTGGTCTGCGAAGGTTAGGCTTTTAGATTGACATTGATTGGTGTGGGGACAGTGCCTTTGATGCCTGACCTCAACTTGCCGTCCTGCCTTGTGTGCTTGGCCAGCACCCCTTCTCCCTGGCCTGGTGTGTGGTGATGCCTTCTGGGAAAGTGCACTGATTGGCACAAAGAGTAACTACCACCGCTTTAACAATTCCCCAGCATTGGTCTTATTTTGCTGGGTTTGGGACCCTTATCGAAGTCAACTCAGGCATCATGATTTGAAGACCCAACGAGTACAGGGCACATGCCACACAGGGCAGGCCAGAAACATGGCCTTTACTCCCTACAGCAATGTCCATGTCCCTAAGACAGAAGAAATACTCTTCAAACGAGCAAATAGAGCTAGAGGTGCGAGTGGGTGTGCAGGGCGCCCCCTGTGGTCACTAGCTGGCAGCGCAGCACAGAGTCTTGGCTGAGGGCTGGAGAGCAGTGGGCGGGTGGGGGACAGAGGGCCCAGCAGCCAGATCCAGGCGGGTCCTGGCAGTGCTTTCAGAGCTACTGTGGGCTTAGGAATGCCGTGCAGGTCCAAATAGTCAAGGTGTCTGGGTCTCATTATGGTCTGCTGGATTCCTGCTCACCTACTTTTTATTTTTTTAAAATTCTCCCCGGTGACATCAGGAATTAAGAGAAAATCAAGAAGTGAGGGATACTCGTCAGATGCTTCATGAGCATGGCTGCTCTTCCAAAGCCACTTTTAGGATTCCTTTTGAATATCTGGCTTCTCAGCTCCAATTCCAGTAGATTTTCCACATTTACAGTAGAACAAAAGAATGAATGGATGCATCTGCTTCACTGTTTGAATTCAGAAACCAAACCAGAACTAACCATCCTGCTGTTGAGTTGGTTCTGACTCCCTGCAGCCCAACCAACAGGACAGAGCAGAATGGCCCCAGAGGGTTTCCAAGGCTGCAGATCTTTATAGAAGCTGATTACCTCATCTTTCTCTCAGAGCATCTGGTGGGTTTGAACTGCTGACCTTTGGCTTTTTAAGCCAACATCTTGGTTAAGACCAGATGTCTTCACCACATCACCATCAGAGCTCCTTTAAGTCCATAAAGCTTTTCCTAAATAAAAGATCCTGGGCAAGAAGCTGTGATAAAGGGGCTTAATTGAGTGTCTTTTTCTTTGCCCTACATCCACGTTTGTGGGTTGTCTGTACGGGAGTGTGTGTGACTTTGTTGGGAGGTGGCTGGTGGCCGGGCCTTGGCTCTGCTTCTTTCTCATCATCCATCAGGATTGACCAGGATTGGTCAGAAGCTGCATTTTTTTTTAATAATATTTTTATTTTATACTGGATTGCTTTTAAGATTTGTATAGTTTTGCACACCAGATCTTACTCATTTCCTTTACCCGTCTCTCCCTCCACCCATCAAATTGTGCTACCCTGTAATTACCCCCTTCCCTCCCATCCTCACTTCTCTGCTCCTACCTTCTCCCCCCTGGATCCTCATATACAATTTACTAGTTATCTTTCTATTTTTACAGTAATGACCTTGTCCTTATAGACTAAGTTAGTTAACTCAGAATAATGCTCTCCAGTCCCTCCCAAGTTAGGTAGTAATTTTCAAAATCATGGCTCCTGTTTGCTGCGTAGCATTCCATTGTGTGAATGTACCACAGTTTCTCAATCCATTTGATTGTGGCTGGACATTTCAGCTGTGTCCATGTTCTTACTATTATGAACATTGATGTACGTGTCTCCATTTGTGTCTCAGTTCTAATTTTCTTGGCATATATTCCAAACAGTGCAATAGGTGGGTCATAGGGAATTTTTATTGCACCCTGTGTGGCACGTGTACCGCGTTCATAAATGTGCCTTACATCCCAGGGGTGGAGAAGTCGCTGTGAAGGATGGATGCTGCAATTCCACCCACCTTGCATGCTGTGTATGCATGGTACCAGGCACACATTAGGTCTTGTCCACTGTGTATAAAAGCGGTTCTTTCACTTGAGAGCATTTCAGACCCTCATCAGGGCATTTCTGGCCCCCTCCTCATCTGCCTTGCTTTGTTGTCCTGCTGAGGATCTACCCTGTTTATCAAGCCTTTGCCTTGGCATCTACTGCCTCTGACGATTGCAGAGAGCTGGACCCTCGGAGACTTAACGAAGGCCTACAGTCTTGGGTGAGCTCTAAATAGCCCATCAGCTGTGTCTGTAGACAGCCTCGCCCAGAAAGGAAAGAAAAATAAACGAATGTGGTGTGAGTCTGCTGGGAACACTTCAGGAAGTCCTGGGAGGCCCAGGGAGAACTGGGAAGAGCGAGCGACGGGAGCTGGGCCTCTGGGCGCAGGGCCATTCCCTGTGTCATTGTTGGCCACTGCCACCTTCCCTCCACTGAGGTGACTAAAAGCTACTTGACTTGGAGCTGCAGTTACTTGGAGATGTCACCCTGTCAGCATCAAACGGAATGTAACACCTTCCCAGTCTTCAGGCGAGGCTCCTCCACCCCCAACCCTCCAGCTCTAGCTTTCACTGTTATCTGGCTCCAGCTCCCTTAATCTGTGAGGCAGGAGAGGGGACTAGGAAAAAAGTGTATTCTAACTGATAACTCAGACACAGCCCCTGCTCATAAGGAGTGGGGAGGGCTTTGCTCTGAGCAGCTGGCACGTTTGGAGTAGGATTGAGACTGTGGACAGGCACTCACCATGTCCTCAGTGCCAGACAGTGGAAGCAAGCACCAACAATCAAGTAATTACACATTAATTTATCCATT